CACCCCCCCCCACCCGGCCTGCACGTGGTGCTGTGACAGCATCTTCAGACCGGCCTCTACCTCCCCCTTGGCCTCTGGGCTCAGGCAGAGCAGGGGGCTCCAGTTTCCTGGCCGAGCCCAGAACAGTGGGTCAGGTCTCCACCCCACGTGTAGAGTTGCAGTCTGTAGCTACCGTGGCTGCGTGGTTGTCCCACTGCCAGGGGGCCCGCTGTCCCCGCCTCCGGAGCACCTCTTGTCCCTCTGCCTGACCCAGGGGTTCCTTCAGACCGAACTCGGGGGCCTCCTCCCTTGCGATGTGTCTGTACATCAGAGCAGGGGCCCGGATCCCCTGGGGGGCACTCAGGTGGTGGCAGGGACCCAAATATCCCGTGCACAGGGTGGCCAAGGGTGTTCCCTTCCCTCCAGCTCCTCTTGGTGAGGTTTTCCGTGCTGGCCATCTATGACCGGGTGCTGGACATCGTATCTGAAAGATTATTTCTAACAAATGATTTGGGCCTAGGACGATGGGTCTGTTACTCAGGAAGGGAGTTTGCTTTAGCTTCTGCACGGGTGCCTGGGGGTGGGCGGTTCCGGGCTAGGAGCTCCGTGATTCCTCTTCAAGGCCTGGGGTTCTCCGGCCACGAAGCCGGGCTGCAAGTCTGTCTGGGCACTGGCTGGCGCCCGGTGGGCTTTGATCCAGAGGGAGAGACCTCCGAGGCCCCAGAGCCACTCCCGGCAGCCCGTGGGTGGGGGAGAGCCCACCGTGGGGACGGTGTGTGCTGGGCTCCCTGGGGGTCTCGGGAGAGGCCTCAGTTCTGGGCTGACCCCACTCTCTCCTCTCTCGGCCTCTCCGTGGCTCCTCAGCATGAAGGGGCAGAGCGCCAGGCTGCGCAATGCCACGGGGGCGGAGCTGTGGCAGCGTTTCCAGAGGCCTCTACAGGACCTGCAGCTGTGGACGGCCCTGGCCCAGAGCCTCCTGGACATCACCGCCAGCCTGCCGGACCTGCCCTCCATTCACACCTTCCTGCCCCAGGTCGAGGTAACTGTGAGCCTGCCAGGAGGGCTGACCGGTGCAGGGGGGCGGGGAGGAGGCCAGCAGCCAGGTATGACGCCAGAGCCGTTCTTCCAGGGAAAGGCGTGTCCCTGGATCCTCCAGGTATCTGGGTAAAGGTCATTGCACCCTGCCTGGCAAGTCTTAAGTTTGCACAGGAAATGTTACCGTCGTCTTCAGTTCCTGGGTAGAAGGCAAAGGCTGGTCCCTGGTGTCCCCCTAGGACTTGCTACTGACCCTCCCACAGCCCGTCCTTCAGGACCCTCCTGCCGACGGTCCCCGGGTGGAAGCAAGAGCCGTTCTGAGAGAGAGCATGTTAGGTCGTTCCCTTTGCTGCGTGCGTATCAATTGGGACGCATGTGGCAGAAATTCTGACCAACGGTAGCTTCAAACCCAGAGACTCCCAGGTGGTCCCAGAGCTGGCTTGATGGCTCAACAAGCGTCTTCCAGGACCCAGGCTCTTTCTAGCTCTCAGCCACATGTCCCCTCATGGCCCCAAGATGGCTGTCACCACAGCAAGCCTGCATCTTCACACGGACAGCATCTTGTCGAACGGCAAAGGGCGCAAAAAGGCTTTCTCCGTTCACCATTTCCAACAGGGAGGCAAACCCTCTCCCAGAAGCCCCAGCAGACTCTCCTTACATCTCATTGGCCAGGCCAGGTCACATGACCACCCCTGACCCAATCACTGGCTGAAGGTGGTGGGGTTGCCGGGATTGGTTTATACCAATCGTAGACATAACCCTGTGTTAAAGTGATCAAAGAAGACAATTTAGATGATACAAACAAACTTTATTTAACACTTCATGAGGTGGACAGCCTCCTTTTGGAGAGCTGCAAAATGGGGCAGAAGGCGGGAAGGTTTAATAGGATAAAGAATAAAGAAGGAAAAGACAAATAGAAAATATCCGATTGGCTGATGGTCAGCCTTGTTTGGGGTGAGAAGGCCCAGGGTTGGCTTGGTGTTTGGGCATCGTGGACTGGATATCCTGCGTTTCTGGCCAAGTGGAGCATTTACAGGGACTGGAAACTTAATCTAAGTTTCGCTTTGTTGCCTTGGCATCTAGGGGAGGAGCAGCCCCATCCCGAGCCTAGAAATTTATTTCAGCACCTGTAACTGGGCGCTTTGTCACCCAAACAGAAGTGCTGGCCGTTCGGTGATCAAGAAGGAGGAATGAGTGTTGGGTGAGCGGAGGGCGGTGTCTGTGGCAAACGCCAGTCAATATGGCAGCTCTGACTGGCCCGTGGATGCTGCCTTAGGGTTTCCTGGAGCTCTGAAGTCCATCAACTTTGGGGTCTAGGGATTCTAAGACACACAGAGTGGGAGGAGACACAAAAGCGTATCACATGTAAGCCTTAGTTTACATTAACTTTCATTCTGGTTATAAAAGCCATGCCTCCGTGGAGAACGTAAAGGTTTGTGAAGAAGGCAACAAAAAGTGCCCACGGTCCCCCAAGCCGTAGGAGCCCTGTTAACATGCTGAGGTACACGACATCACCCTTTCTATCTGACCTGGTATTTTCGGGGAGGCCCTTTAACCAGGACTGGCCTCTCCTCACCCTTGAACACGCTGCTCAGCCACACAAGGGTGCCTGAAGTTTGGAGTGTCTGCTCTTGGGATTTTCCACGTGGGGCTCACGCTGGAACAAGGGTTTGTTTTCTCTGTCCATATTTCTTCATTTGCAGGGCTTAGCCTTTCCTTCTGGGGTTCCTATGGGCCTCCTTCTCCCATGCTCTGAAAGATGACTGTCCATCTTTTTGAGGAACTTCTCAGGGCTCCCCAAAGTGAATCTTACATGTGTCGCAGAAATCTACTTTAGGTCCGACAATCCCAAATATACCCTTCATACCTACCTGATGAAAACCCATCTAGCCGTTTCCATGCAATATTGTCACCAATAGACAAAATATTTCAGTAATTCTTTGCCATTTTTTGCGTATTTGGAATCATGTTATATAGCTGTGTATTCTGATATTTTCAGTTGGCTCTTACAAGCTTCATTTAAAATGGTCCCCGGGGCAGGGGGGTTGCCTGGGTGATGCAATTGGTTAAGCGTCGGACTCTTGATCTCTGCTCAGGTCCTGATCTCACAGTTTGTGAGCTCGAGCCCCGCATCGGGTTCTGTGCTGACAACATGGAGCCTGCTTGGGATTCTTCCTCTCCTTCTCTCTGCCCCTCCCCTGCTTGTGCTCGCTCTCTCTCTCTCTCTCTCTCTCTCAAAATAAATAAATAAACTTAATAAAAATAAAAAAAAAAATGGTTCAGGAGGACAGTCCAAGATGGCAGCGTAGAAAGATCCTGAACTTTATGTCCTCCCATGGATACACTGAATCTGTCGCTACGTATGGAATAATGCCCTCTGAAAAAGACCTGAACTGTAGCAGAACAGCTGCTTCCAACCAACGGTAAAAGGGCTTCACTGAGATGCGTCGGAGAGGCAGAGATGCTGTCTGGCCAAAAAATCTCACCCCCGACGCAGCGACCCGCCGTGAGGAAGTTGCTCACAAATTTGGAGCTTCTCCTCGAGGAGTGAGGGGTTTGTGCCCCACATCAGGCACCTGACCCCTGGGACTTCAAAATAAAACCTCAAGGGGAAAAAAAAAAAAAAAAACCCTAATGAAATGGAAATAAGTAATTTACCCAATAAAGAGTTGAAAGTAATGGTCCTAACGATGCTCACTGAGATCTTGGGAGAAGAAGGGATGAACACAGTAAGAACTTCCCAAAAAACCCCACGTAAACAATAAGAAAGTACCAAACAGAAGTCACAGAACTGAAGAATGCAGTGACTGCACTGAAAAATACACTGGCGGGTTCAGCAGCAGACTCGAATCCAAAGAAGGGGTCGGTGATCTGGAAGACAGGGCAGTGGAACTCACTCAGAGCAGCAAGAAGAAAAAAGAATTTGAAAAAATACAAATAGCTTAAGGGACCTATGAGGCCACATCAAACCGAATAACATTTGCATTGTAGATGTCCCAGAAGGAGAAGAGAGGGGAAAGGGGGCAGAAAACTTATCTGAAGAAATAAAGGCTGAAAGCTTTCCTAAACTGGGGCAAGAGACAGACATCCAGGTCCAGAAAGCACAGAGATGCGTGTTCAACCAAGACGAACAAAAAGTGACCCATACCAAGATTCATTATAATTGAAATGTCAAAAGTTAAAAATAAAGATAGAATCTTAAAAGTAGTGTGAGAAAAACAATGTGTTCCATACAGGGGGACGCTCCTAAGACTACAGGCAGGTTTTTCAGCAGAAACTCGGGACAGTTTTCCAAAGAAAACATACAGGTGGCCAACAGGCACATGAAAAGATGTTAACGTCACTCATCAGCAGGGAGGTGCAAACCAAAACCACGATGAGCTATCCCCCCACACCTGTTAGAACGGCTAAAAGCAAATGGCAAGAAACGAGCGTTGGTGAGGATGTGGAGAAAAGGGAACCCTGGTGTACTGTTGGTGGGGATGTAAACTGGGGCAGCCACTGTGGAAAAACAGTATGGAGGTTCCTCGAAAAATTAAAAAGAGAACTGCCATGTGATTCAGCGATTCTACTTCTGGGTGTTTGTCCAAAGAAAACAAAAACACCAATTTGAAAAGCTATATGTAAAGAGAGCCCCATGTTCGTTGCATCGTTAGTTACAAAGCCAAGGTATGGAAACAACCTAAGCGTCCACTGAGGGGTGAACGGATGAAAGAATGTGTGATTATGTCTATGTCTATATCTGTATCTATATCTATATCTATATATCTGTACCTGTATCCATATCTACATTTATATCTGTATCTATATAGATGTACATAAAGAAATGCCACTCAGCCATAAAAGAGAACGAAATCTTGCCATTTACAATAACATGGTTGGACCTTGAGGGCATCATGGTAAGTGAAATTAGTTGAGCAGAGAAAGACAAATACCACATGATCCCACCTCTATGTGGAATCTAAAAACCGAAAACCAAACCCGTAGATATAGAGAACAGAATGGAGGCCGCCAGTGGGGAGGGGTGTCGGGGGTAGAGAATCCCCGGGGGTTCTCGGGGGGGAGGGGTGTCGGAGGTTAAAGGGGCTCAAAAGATACAAACTTGCAGTTATAGGATAAATAAGTCACGGGGTCGTGATGTACAGCATGGCGACTACAGTCGATATGGTAGCCCCCCATAAAAGTCGCCAGAGGAGTGAATCTTAAAAGTTCTCATTGTCAGAAGGAAAAAAGAAATTATAATTTTGTGTGGTGACGGTCGGCCCTAGATGTATCATGGTGATCATTTCGCAGTGTGTACAAATATCGAATCGCGTCGCGCATCTGAAACTGATGTAACGTTACGTGTCTGTTATGCTTCAGCTAAAAAAGTCTTAAGAAAAAAGATAAAATGTTGCCGAAAAGTCATCGCTTTTAATGGCTGCACGGTATTTCGCAGTATTTTTTGTTCCGTTCGTGTGATATTTAGGTTGTTTCCAGTATTCCTGGTCATAACTTGTACATGGTGGATATCTATGTACACAGATTTTGGTCTGCGTTTCTATTATTTTCCTCCTCATTTTGCTGACGAGGGACCAGAGCCGGAGAGAAGTTAGGGTGTTTGTTCAAGGTCGGGCCACTCCAGAGGCGGGGCTGAGGCCAGAATGGCAGGCTCTAGAATCTCATCTTATGTTTCTTATTCCTGCCGTCACCCTGGGTCCTGGGAACAGGGTTGGCATGTACAATGTGGCAGTTTTATTATCATTTGACTGTTGAGGAAACGATGTCCCAGAGAGGGAAAGGCACTGGTTCAAGGTCACACAGCGACCAAGTGGCAGAGCTGGCTTGGACCCAGGTCTGGTTGACTCCACGGCGAGCGCTTTTCCCGCTAGATCAGATTGCATTACCATCCCGTCCTTCCCACGGGGGGCAGAAAGCTAACCAGGACCTGTGCCAGGCGGGCGGGAGAGGTTCCGTCTTTCTAGAGTGTGACTCAGGACTCCCCGGGGCAGGAGTTTCGCGGATCAGTGGGTTGGAACAGGTGGGCAGGACTATGGCTTGTCCGTGCTCTGTGCTGGCTGGGATCACGTCTTGCGTTGCGCTCACGAGCCCTTCCCAGGCCGGATGGACTTCACGGGCCAGGCTCGAGCCGCCAGCCCTGTTTTTCTTGGCTCAGCTCCTGCGCCTAGCTAGCCTCAGCGTGGCCTATCAGACCTGCAAAGTTCCTCTAGGACTAAGGCATCAGGCCCCAAAGCTGGGCATGGCTGAGATGCTCATTTCCAAGGACGACTGTGACAAAGTTCCAAAACCAGATGGCTTAGCGCGATGGCGACTCACTCTCACACAGTTCTGGAGATGACAAGCGCCGAGTGAGGAGGGCCGCGCCGTCTCTGAAGGCTCTGGGGACCATCCTTCCCTGCCTCTTCTAGCTCCTGGTGTCGACTGACAGGTGTTGTTGTTCGCTGGCCTGTAGACCTGGCCCGGCGATCTCGGCCTTTGCCGTCACCTGGACAGCTTCTCCCCACGTGTCCTCACGTCGTCTTGCCTTGGTGCCTGTGGGTCGGGGTGCAGATTTCCCTTTTGAAGAAGCGCACCGGTCCTAACTGGATTGGGGCCCACCCTCATGACCTCATTCCAACTTGACCGTCTCCGTAAGGACCCTGTCTCCACATACAGTCACATTCTGGGGCAGTCGGGGTGGGGATGCTGTGACTTCACATCTTTTGGGGGGACGCAACTCAGCCCGCAGCGGCTGGTTAGACGGTACCAGAGAGACAAGCCGTCTGTTACTGTGTGTTCCCTGCGGGCTGTGCGCCAGGCTACACGCTGCATGGGCACCGCCCCCTTTCAGCCCTCACGCTGACCCTGGGAGTTGGGCGTGGCTCTGCCTGTTCTGCAGATGAGGAAACTGAGGCTCAGAACTACCCAAGGCCTCCGGATCGCAACTCCTCAGCCTGAACTCTTAACTGCTACACTATTGTGTCCAGACTTTCTGGAAAGGGAGTGAAGGGCACCCTCCCTAGCAAGGGGCTTGTCCTCTCACACCACCTGCCCCCATCGCGGGGGACGCCAGTTCGGCTGTGCCGGCCGTGTCTAGGCTGCCCTTCCTCCAGGGGCCCCCTCTGCTCTTCCCGGGCTCTGGCAACACGGCCTGCTCTGGGGAGGCTTCTCGGATTTCCCCAACTAGGGGCATTCAGCTCCGCCTCCAACACCCAGAGGGCTCTGTCGTGGACACTTGAAGGGAGCTGATCACTTTCGGCCTTGGATCGCAGGTACCTACCTGGGTTGGGGTCTTTGTCCCTTCCCAGCCCTGTGCCCAGCTCAGTGTCTCAGTAACATCACCAGGGATAAAGCGGAAGGACTCTGGCCAGCCGAACACAATTCCCTTGGCCTCCGGGACCCTGGGCCCTCAGATCAGCAAGGCGTGCTGACCCCAAACAGCTCGTTAGTCAGCAGAAGCCGGAGATTGGCACAGGGCTTTGGGGCAGGAAGAGTGAGTGTAGCCTGGGGGTGTGGTCGGGGCCGGCTTCCTGGAGGAGGCGGGCCGGGGCCATGCAAAGGCCCAGGGAGCCAGCTGCTCATCATGTGAGTCTCCCTTAGGTCCCTCCTTCACCTGGCACCTCCATCACCTGCACATCACAATTCCACTCAGATGTCACCTCCTCTAGGGAGCTTTCCTGAATTCCCACGTGCTCCCATAGACCCC